CACCCCTCCACCCCCCCCCCCCCCCCCCCAAAAAAAAAAACATGTCTACCGTCCCATTGCAAGAAAACCACTTTTTAGATTAGACACATTAATTAGGCGGTAATTTTATTATAGAGTATCAATAAAGAAATTTCTTTTGAGTTAGGGAGGGGGGGTGGGCTCAGACGTTCTTACACGGGGGTGGGGCTTCGCCCCTATCCAAAGAATTCTATGAAAGAAACTCTTCACGCAAACCACTTAGATTAGATAAAATTTGCTTTTTTTCAATGTTTACGCGATAATCAATGACGTCATATTACTGTGTGCACTCTCTGGTTTGAGATTATGTTCTACTCTACGCTAAATGTGTCGACGTCATATTTCGTTTTTCGAATTACTGTGCATGTTTTTAAATTGCTTGTGTTTTCTCTAGAGCGTTCTTGTCAGACAGAGCGTTCTTGTCAGACAGAGCGTTCTTGTCAGATAGACAGACAGCGAAACTATTAGTATTAACGAGAAAAATGGCCCGTTGAGGAAGGATACACCGGGCGCTAGGTTGATAGTGCTGTCTCTTTTTTCTAAACAAAAACCACCCCCCCCCCCACACACCACCCCCACCCCCACCCCCACCCCCACCCACACCACCCCAACCCCCCCACCCCACCCCCCCACACACCACCCCCCCACCCCCACCCCTACACACACCACCCCACACACACACCACCCCCACCCCCCACCCCCCACCCCCCCAAAAAAAAAACATGTCTACCGTCCCATTCAACGAAATATAATTATATACTTTTTCCAGTGTCCGCCCCCTCCCCGAAAATTCTACACCCGCCCCCGAAAATTTCAAGTACCCTCACCCCTCTCCGGGGAGGAAAAAGTCTAAATTAAAACCACCCCCCCACTCACCCCCACCCCCCCCCACACACACACACCACCACCCCCCCACCCCCCCCACCCACCCCCCCCCCCCCCCCCCCCAAAAAAAAGCATGTCTACCGTCCCATTCAACAAAATATAATTATATACTTTTTCCAGTGTCCGCCCCCTCCCCGAAAATTCTACCCCCGCCCCCGAAAATTTCAAGTACCCCCACCCCTCTCCGGGGAGGAAAAAGTCTAAATTAAAACCACCCCCCCACTCACCCCCCATCCCCCCCCCCCACCTCCCCCACCCCCCACCCACAACCCCCCCCCCCCCCCTAAAAAACATGTCTACCGTCCCATTCAACGAAATATAATTATATACTTTTTCCAGTGTCCGCCCCTCCCCGAAAATTCTACCCCCGCCCCCGAAAATTTCAAGTACCCCCCACCCCTCTCCGGGGAGGAAAAAGTCTAAATTAAAACCACCCCCCCACTCAACCCCCCCCCCCCCCCCCCCCCCACCCCCACACCCCTCAGACGTTCTTACGCGGGGGTGGGGCTTCGCCCCTACCCGAAGAATTGTATGCAAGAAACTCTTCACGCAAACCATTTAGATTAGACAACATTTCCTTTTTTTCAATGTTTCAATGACGTCATTACATTACTGTGTGCACTCTCTGGTTTGAGATTATGTTCTACTCTACGCTAAATGTGTCGACGTCATATTTCGTTTTTCGAATTACTGTGCAGGTTTTTAAATTCCTTGTGTTTTCTCTAGAGCGTTCTTGTCAGACAGATAGATAGATAGAGAGACAGCGAAACTATTATTATAGATGGAGGCCTTGTGTAATGTAGTTTTACTGAGCTTATTGAATGTATGCAGACACTATACAAACGTTGATGGGACATGTTTTAAATACGGGGATGTCTGGTAGAATAGACTTAAACATTGTAATGACGTGGACACTTTAATCTTCAATAAATGTTATCTCCCTTTATGTAGAATCCGAGCGTTGTTTAATCAAAATGATCTCCCCTACAACGTCTTGGACATTTTCTATCTAGATCCTAGTGACCTCCCCTACAAATAACAACAACAATAGCACAACAAAAACAGCAACAACAACAACACCACATATTCTACCTCTACACCATAAGATACTCAGATCCATATAATGTTTATATTTTTTTAAATGTGTATTTTTATACCAGTGTCATATAATGGCAAAATATTAAAATCTTCATAAAAAGGTTACTGGTAGTTAACTAAGTAAACAAATGCTAATCCTAACCCAAATTCCACCCTACGCCTGACCCTAATTGCTAAACATAAAACTAGACTTGGGATTTCAATATTGCTTACAACCTAATCAGGGGCGGAACCGCCGTGTTCAAGACGCCCTGGAAATTTTTAAAGTGGCCCCTAACCACAGACTGAAATAGTGCATTTTTCCCCAACAGAATCTAATAATAATTATAAGCTTGATAGAAACTCCTGCGACAATTTTTTTTTTAATCAAAGCACTAATAGGTCTAGTACAGCTCCGTTCCTGCAGCCCACAGGCTTTGTTTTTTTTTTTAACCTGGGGCCACCGGAAGTTTTCCGGTAGACCAGCGGGCCAGTCCACCCCTAAACCTATTTCCGGAATAGTCTGTTATCGGATATCGGTATAACACATTATTTTATATTTTTTTACAAATTCTATTTCACCTTTCTGCTGAAGTAGATCTAGATTTCAAGACGATATTTTTTTTTTTGCCCAGCAGAAGAGCCTAGACGTAGCAATTACATTTGAAGGTCAGGGTCGCTATAGTGAAGACGCCCTATACCCTATCGAAACAACAATCGTGTCTCTAAGTTTTTCCACTCAGGAATACATCCACAATCACAATACATCTCCATCTTCCCTAAACAAAACCATAACCAGGTTCTACTCAAAACCCTTGAAAAACCACTTCATCTAGACTAAACATACATTTTGCATTAAGACAACTATTGTAGTCCCCCCCCCCACACACACACACACGCACGCACGCGCGCGCACACACACACACGCACACACACACACCGTCCCTTCCATACACTTCGTGTTAAAAAACAACATTTTAATTTTTTTTTCTCCCCCCCCCCCCTCCCAACCCCCTTTCCAGAGTTTCGCCTCCAGCACGTATACAAAGGTCATGACCTCCTAACCAATGTTACCAAATCCGTGGCCGCCGGCAATGTTTACAACATCAGCAACTTCGGCCGCAAGACCGAATGCCTTGCAGACGTGGAGAGCGACCTGCGCTACCTGCTCTTCCTGACGGTGTTTGATGAACGTCTGTCTGCCCAATATGACGACATTTTCGGTGCCGCGTCCCTCTTTGATGAAGCCGACCAAGAGGAGATACTATCTTACCTCGGTGAGTTATCTTCCCCTTTTTTTCCCAGCTCGCTAAATTACCGCCGATCTGGTGGCGTATTACAATCTAACATCCAACACTCACCGGACTTTCATCTTGATCAAATTCAAACTAAGACATTTTAAGTTCCTCACAAGCTGAAAGGCCAAACACAATTTTTTTTAGAGCCGTGTAACTTGTATGGCGTCGTCTATCTAAAGAAAGAAAGCAATCTTATTTTGTTTTTTGCTGTTGTTTATGCGTACTGAGTAACCTCCCCTTGTGGTGTATATCCGTGTTTTAGAGATTTCTTTCTATGACGTCACTCCGTTTGTGACTAGTTTCGAAAGGTGACGTCACGTATACAGTTAATTTTTTTTAGCAAATTTAAATCGTTTTTTTCTAGTCATATTGCATAAGGGTGTCGTCTATAAAACCACGTCATACTCATGGGGAGGGGGATTGAGATGTTGGTAGGTTTGGACTTAAAAAAAAAAAAGATTTACAACGAGAGGGATGGGGGAGACGGACTTGGAAAGTGTAACGACACACTTTTGCATTTTAAAAAGTCAAGTTCCACTCCGAATTGATCACCAGAAATTTATCAAAATACTCAATGTTCACCGAGTTCAGTACATATTTTTAGAAAGAAATGGATGGTTTTAAAATTTGAGGAGTGTCGACTAAACTTTAAGCTCTAAAAAATTTGATCCTGATTTATTATTTATCTTTTTATTAAACATTTCATCGGCATCTCTTTAAGCCGTTTGGCGCACCCGATTTGAACAATGGAGCACTTTTCGTCCGGTCTCTATCTATAACCTCTGTCAATTGGAATGTTAGGCCTCTGTCCTTCAACTTTTTCATCAGTTTTGTTACAGTTTTCTAACTTCAAACATTTATTATTTTGCTGGATTCCTATTTCATAACTAGTAAAGTATTTAAATGAGCTTCGAGTGTGTGCAGTTCAATGCGCTTCTTGTGTACACCTCTTTATGAGGTAGTGTGGGTATATCTGGTACACTTCTGGCACAGTACACAGTTGCCTGACGGAGTGGTCTAGCAATAGAGAGCTGGACTGCTAACCAGTGAGTCTCGAGTTTGAATCCGGGTTCAAGTCAGTAGACCGTCCCTGAGTCCACCCAACTCTGATGGGTACCTAACTCACGTTAGGGTAAGTAAAGGCGGCTGGGCACAGCGCTGACCACACTATCTCTTCATATGCCAAGGTCACAGAAACTAGTTAACTCTACTTCACTTGCCCCGTAGACCGTCAGGTTTTGAAGGGGGACTTAACTTACACAGCTGCCTGTGTGTCCACGACACCAACTAAACTTGTATAGAAATATTAAGAAAAAAAGGGGAAGTTATATTGGGACGGCGTGGTCGGATTATAGAGCACTCGACTGCTAACCCGGATCCCTGGTTCGAGTCCGAATCTCTGATGGACACCTGACTCAAAGGAAATTTTAGGCGGCTGGAAATAAAGCTGACCACATTATGGCTTTATATACCGAGTTTTACAGAAACAGCTTAACTCTGCTTTATCTGTCCCATTTATCGCAAAGTTCGAAAAGGTTACGTTATTTTTTCAATAAAAAAAAGTATCGAATATAAAAGACAGAGCATTATGTAGGAAACTTAAAAATACAAAGCAGAACCTACATTGTAGGCAAAGAAATACGAAACAACCCACCTCATTAAAAAAAACAATAAGACTTGGTCCGTCTGTCAAAACCTGTCGTTGTCTACATTTAATTTCTACAGTGTGGCATAGAAACAATCTAAATTTAGTCCTCACCCTATTACCCCCCCCCCCCCCACACTCCCATCCTACTGTATTTTCCAACATTATTACCACCCCCCCCACCCCCATTCTACCAAGTATTACAACTTTAATACACCACCCCTCAACCCTCAACCTTCAACTTTGAGTCTGTTCCAACTTTAACTTTATTACCCTCCCCCCCCCCCCCACATCCTCACCTGCTCAAAATCACATGCTATTTCATTCATTTTATCGTAGAAAAAGATTAGTTTTAAATCTAGAAATTATTTTTTGACAATTTGTCAAAAAAAGGATGAGTGTGGTGTCAACAAACTTGTCGCATTTATTTTCTAGCGATCAAGTTTTTTTTTCAATAATGAAAAACTTGATAATTTATGGTATAAATAAAAGTTTGAAAATTATGGTGGACGTAGCTTTATAAAGTGATATTTTTATGTGTGTGTGTGGGGGGGGGGGGGAGAATTTTTGATGATGAGCGCCGATAAAGTTAAAATTGATTAAAATAGTTTCGGGGTAAGACGGTTAATAAAAAAAAAATTGCTGCCTTTGTATGCCCCCTCCCCTACATTTTGTTTGGAAATAATTTGTCTATATTTTATCTAGAAATAATTTGTCTATATTTTGTCTCGAAATAATTTGTCTATATTTTGTCTCGAAATAATTTGTCTATATTTTGTCTAGAAATAATTTATCTATATATTGTCTAGGAATACTGTGTCTATTGACATGCGCTATCTTAAGAATGAATAGATTTTCAAAAGGTTAAACAAAAAAGGAAGGGTAGGGGAATTGGCCAACTTAAATGAGGGGGCGGTAAGCTGTTGGTGAGGGGGTGGAGGGGGCGCCTAACCGGTAAACGAGACTCCCTTCAAAGTGACGCTTGCGGGGTAGACCTTTGATGGCTGGGGATACCAAGAGAAGAGAACTGCAAGTAACATTTTAGAAAAGTTGGGGAAAATGGCGGGAAAATTAGAGAGGGAAAAGTTGTAACAGCACGGGCGGATAACTGATACGTCTCTTTTAACCAGAGTGACCTTCTCTTGTGTCAGCAGAGAATGGGTACAGATAGACGGCACGATGGAAGATTCTAGAATATCGAGATGATCTCTTCAGATTAGGTACTCATACGTCGGGGTTTTTTTTTGCTCTTTCATCTGTTCCGGTAATCTGTGTTCTACGTCACAGAAGGTTGAGGTGTTTAGCTGTTCCGGTTATCTGTGTTCTACGTCACAAAAGGATGGGGTGTTTAGCTGTTCCGGTTATCTGTGTTCTACGTCACAAAAGGATGGGGTGTTTAGCTGTTCCGGTTATCTGTGTTCTACGTCACAAAAGGATGGGGTGTTTAGCTGTTCCGGTTATCTGTGTTCTACGTCACAAAAGGTTGAGGTGTTTAGCTGTTCCGGTAAATTTGTGCTCTACGTCATAGAATGTTGAGATGTTTATCGGTATCCGTTGAGAGTTGAGATGTGGCGGGTTAGGCGACAGGTGTGAGGCGGTGCCGCACTGTGGTGGTGGTGGTGGGACTCAACGGCATCAGAACGTGGTCACGTGACCACACCAATCTATCACGTGATCACAATCTCGTGGCTCTGACGTAAAATCACATGACTATAACTTAACGTCCCGTAATTAAAAATTACAGTCGCACACAGATAAGGCGACATGACTGCAACATTAGGTCACATGACTACAACTTAAAGTCACATGACTGCAACATAAAGTCACATGACTGCAACATAAGGCAACCTGACTAAAACATCATATGACTGCAACATAAGGTCACATGACTGCAACATAAAGTCACATGACTGCAACATAAAGTCACACGACTGCAACATAAAGTCACATGACTACAACATTAGGTCACATGACTACAACATCATATGACTGCAACATAAAGTCACATGACTGCAACATTAGGTCACATGACTACAACATTAGGTCACATGACTACAACATCATATGACTGCAACATAAAGTCACACGACTGCAACATAAAGTCACATGACTGCAACATTAGGTCACATGACTACAACATCATATGACTGCAACATAAAGTCACATGACTGTAACATTAGGTCACACGACTGCAACATAAAGTCACATGACTGTAACATTAGGTCACATGACTGCAACATAAAGTCACATGACTGCAACATAAGGTCACATGACCACCGCAAGCAGCCACGTGATCACATCACAAAATCACGTGACCTTTAAGTTTTATTTTATTTGACAATTACACAAAAAACAATTGAAAGTGATTCTCGTGTCGTTTGTATTAAGATAGCCCAGGGTAGGTCTACAATAGTTTTGTTTTTACTAGATCTATATTTTCTCCTCTTTTGTTCGATGCTTGTGATAAAAAAAAAATAGTTCGAAAAAAAAAAAATTCCGCCCTTTAAGAACGCTAACTCCACCCCAAATTTTCAATATCTTCTCTGCAGTATCGAATTCACAGGATCGAGCGACTTCTCTAGACGTTAAAAAAAAACCTGCCCGATACCGTAAAGATAATTAGTTTGAAGGTAAGAAGCCCGGGTTGGGGGGTGGAGGGGCGCATTATTCCGTTATTATTTCAACAAATAAGAGCTCGTTTTGTTTTTCACTGACGCCACTGACTGCTTCTCGTTTGATGAAAGATCGTTTCAGCATTTCAAAACGAATTTACGAGCGAGAAATCCTTCCGCATGAGTTTTCTACCGAGAAATCCTTCCGCGCAGCGTTTCTGCTTACATTTTAACTTTCAAAATAGCTTAGGCAATTATTTTCAGAGGAGTGTAAACACGGCTCAGGGCGAGGCAAGATTAATGGGAAGGAAGAAAAAAAACTACAACTTTTTTTTTTTTAAACTGAAACACGAAACACCGAGAGTGAAATAAAAAATATTTAAAAAAAAAAAAAATTTCAGCCGTTTTTTACAAAAAAAAATTTTTTAACTCGAAGTTTTGAAAATAATTATAACAATAAAAAAAAATTCCCAATCTTTTGTGCCGTTTTGTTTTTAGTAAAACCAGTGATGTTTATTACTACATAGAATTGAAAGAAATGAAATAAGTGTCGAAAACATTCTCTCACGCGAGAGTTTTGTCTATCGGGGTTTAATGTAGTTTCGAGCAGTTAAAAACAAAGCAGAAACTACAATAAACAAATAGATATATGTAATTGCTTCTGGATGTACTGCATGTACAAAATCCTGAACACACGCACGCACGCACACACACACACACAC